TTATGGTCAGCACACCGAGAGCGCAAATGTTGACACGGTCACTGTTCAGTTCAGCTCCAGCTACTACAGAGATTTCCCACGTAGGTCAAGCACAGCCATTTTGTACTGAGTATATATCGTCCCACTGTGTGGCAAAGTGAGGATGTATTCATTAATGCATCGCTGTGTTTGTTTTTGTCAATGCTGCGAAACTGGTATATTGTGCTGAAAATGCAAAGGTCATGGATTGAAATCCCAGGGTGCAGATGAAAATAGTGACCCTTCCCTGTACTTAAAGTCGCTTCGAATAAAAATGTCAGATGAATGAATAAATGTAGAAAAACTGCAGAATGTAGAATATACAGTCGGCATTAACTTTGAAGAACAACAAAAACCCCAACAGTATTAGACAGCTTTTCACATAATGATATTGTGATTTAATAGTGACATTGTAATTCAACATATTATGACACGAAACAGATAAATCGGTAGGATGAAAATTAAGATATTATTTAAATACTTCTAGATCTGCATGGCTGTAGGACCCAGAATGAAGCCCATGTGCGGAGACTTTACTATGTGTCCCTGTGTAATTCCAGTTAGACCTTCTTTGGCTATTAGAACCACATCCTGGTTTGAGTGACCGTGCATTCAGAGATGCCTTTCAACACACCACTGTTGTACTGACCTTATTTTTTGCATTTGTGACCTTCCTGTTAGCTTTTATGAATCTGGAATTCTCCTCTGACCTCTTTCAACAGCCAAACTGCCAGTGACTGGATGCTTTTTTATTTATTACACCATGCTGTATTAACACTAGACACGGCTGCACGGGACAATCACAGGAGAGCGACTGTACCCGAGATGCTGAACTCGCCATGTCTGCCACTACCAGTCACACCACATTTAAAATCATCTCGATCATGTGTCACAGCCGTTCTAACACTGAGTTTCCCAATCACTGAACCCCTCGAGCCTGTCTGCACATACATTTTCAGATAACTTCCAATGCGAATGAATTAAACACAGGTTTTCTCCATATGTGTGCATATGTAGATGTATGGATATTTATGAAAGGTTGCATATACCTTCACATTGAGATCAGCTAATATGGGTTTATCTGAACACTGGACAGCAGCTGAAACTAAGAATCGGTTACTTTCCACATCAGGCCTCCTGCATTAAATATTTTCACAAAGGTTCCATTTTTATCGTGCATTCTCTGCTTGGCAAGAGGGATTACAGTGATACAGTGATATACTTCACAAGTATATCCCTCTCCCTCTTTCAATGAATCCCATGTCAAGTTTTTTTTCCGTTTGATGTTTTGGGGTATGTTCTTCCTTCCCTTGACTTACGACGTTTGTTGTCAGAGCCGATGTACATGCTATTAGCTAGTAACAGTACTGAAAAGTACAGCTTGTATTCACCAGCTCCTATTCATTTACCCCTTTGCCATGGCAACAGCATCAAAGCCCACATGGATCACACGAAGGCTGCTGAGATCCAGCTCAAGGGGGTGGATAATATGTGGACTGGAGTCTAAAGGCAGAACGAGCCTCCGTTTGCAGACGAAATCCATTGTCTGCGTGCCTTCAGTCAATCGAGAGACAAAAGAGAAAATGTAGCTTCAATTTTCCTTCATAGCAACTCAGTTCTTTGGCATTTTAAGTATTACTGATAATTGTAAACAAAGACATAGTACATTTGTTTCACCTGAATTTACTAGGCGCCGTAGTATGAATTTAAATACAGAGAATGTGTACATGCATGCATATTTGCATTTTGTACCTTCCGTGGCGTTTATATTTACATACAGAGAGAGGTAACATGGCGGCGTTGTCTGACGGCTGTGAGACTCAGCTGCAGTCTGTCGGCTCTCTAATTGAGTTAGCACAGATCAGAGTGAGCTACACGGGTGATGTCATGGTCTAATTGGACAGCATCTGGACCGCGGAGGGTTTTTCTGCACTTGAAAGATGACGCACCCAGATGGGTTCTCCTTCCATTAGACACTAAATGCGCAGGCTTCAGCAGTACATGCTCACTCACTATTAAAACGAGTCACATCTCTGATTGTGATTTATCATGTATTCAGGAAGGCTGTTTAACACGACTGGGCGCAACAAAAAAAAAAACTCAGCTTCGTTAAAGTAATTACTTATTCGACTTTACTAAATTATATAAATAAATATAAAATCTGTCATGATCTGTAACAAAAACAACCAAAAAATATTTGGCTAAAAGGAGTGACACGGTGATGCAGTGGGACCGCTATTGCTCAAGGTTTATTTTGCATATTTAGGACAGTTTGCACAGTAAACACTAAGGTACACTATGCTATGAATACTGTATGAATACTATATGCTTCCGGACGCCGGTAAACATAAATCGCAAATACAAATTAAGGCGCTCCAATAAGACAAAAAACAAGTACATATGATAAGAATAAATACGTAACTAGGTAACAAATATGTAATAAAACAGTACATGTGTAAATTACGACAATAAATACGTAAACGCAGTGATGTGGTGTCCACAGCCCATGATAAAAAAGGCATCCCATTGTGCATGAACCACTGCGCTATATGCAGTGTCTTGGGGGTCAAGGATTTACCCCCCTTAAGCTGCTGTTCTCTGTGACAGCCGCGGATCTGGGAGTTAATGTTATTATAAACACATTCCGGTTAGGCCGATGCCGAGTTTGCATATTAAATACTCCAAGTCAAATTAAGCGGAATTGGTTTGTGCTGTCAAAAGGTACTTTGGTGCCACCTAGTGTGCTTTACGAGAATATACTACAAGTAATTTCGCCGTTCCTCCGGTTAAGATACTGCATATCTTATCCATCCAGCTTATCAAGTAAGTGATCCCAGGAAGCCCAGGGTAGAGGGTAAGGGACAACCTTAAAAAGAAGGCAGTCCATCCCAGGACACACAATCACACAACTGCGCGTCTTTTGCTTACGGGGGAATCTGGAGTACCAGGCAAAACCCAGAGAATATGAGGAAAACATCACACAAGAAGCTGGTGACAATACTTATTTTCATATTCATCATCAAAGAGTACTCTCCTTTATAATTCACAAGCAATTGCCGAAGATATCATGCAAATATATTTATAATTATAAATGACTAATGAACTTTATTAATATCCATGGGTTGCTGACATATATTTCTATGCTGTAGACATATGTACAGATAACTTTATGTGTCATTTTAAGTAATATATTGCTAAACTTGCTAAAAAGTAAAACCTTGGAATTCCTCTTACGTTAATATGACCCTTGTCCCTTTGTTTGACAGCATGCATTCCTTTAGCATAATTCTCATAATGGGTAGACATTAACTACTCCACCACACCTCCCAGTACTATGCACTGTAGTGTTTCATTCGACACTCCTGACATATTTTCTATGAATATTTTCCAACCAGGGATGGATGTCAAGAGACACCCAAGGTTCTGTCCAGAAGTTATACCATCTTCCGGTTCTGCGTTTGGTCTTCCTGGTGTCAACCTCATTTCACATGTAACATCTGAATTTTATATCATATCTAAGAACTTTGTTAGACAAACAATAATCCCCTTCAACGCCACACCCTACAATACTATGCCACTAGATTTCCTTTCATGATCTCTGAAGTCACTCCTCATTACAACACCTAGTAACCAGAGTACCATAACTTGCTAACCAATTACTAGGCCCTTACCTTCTGACCAGGGACGATCATCCTGTGGCAAGACCCATCTGTGTCCATGAGAAAATGTTTTAATAATATAAAATGTCATAGTGTAGACCAAATTCCAATGCTAAAACCTGATTTATCAACTACTAATATTTTACATCTTCACCTATTAGCTTATAAGCACATATAATACAAAAACGTTGTGGGTTGTTTTAAATAAGAGTTTCCTGTGAACATATCACACAGTCTTCACCAGTTAAAAATCCATATTAGTTAATAAGAAGCCAATACACTTTTGACATAATTAATTGTTACAAAAACTGTACTGTCTATATCAGAACCATAATTTAGCTGCATTTCAGGCATCTTGTCAGGACTGGATAAGCACAATTTCTAACTCTTACTCTCCTGTCCTTTCCCCCTTTAATAATTCGCTATTACACACAGTCAGAAAAAAGGGAACAGCACAGGTGCAATTCTGTACCCCAAGGTACAATTAACATTAATGCCCCCCTCCCCCAAAATGGTATTAAAAAAATGCTCCCCAGAGTCCATTTCTGTACTTTAGAAGGTACATTTACCTATAGCTATGATACAGCTGGCAGGCCCTTCAGGGTACAGCCCTGGTGACAAGTGATTGTACCCTCAAAGGTACAAATTGGTACTTTTTCTTCTAATAGTGCAGTACAAAGATTAAATCCTTCAGAAGAGACCCGTTATGATTCCCTGCTGTACAGTTTTTAATTGATAGTCAGTTTTCAATAAACTACCACCACATTTCTCCCCATCAAATAACCTAACCATCAATATTTTTCATTCATAACTCATCACTAATGTTTCTCTGCACACTGTGAGAAAAAAGAGTATAATTTTGTACCTTTGCTTGTCACTGGGGCTGTACCCTGAAGGGTCTGTCAATTGTATTTTACAGCTATAGGTAATTATACTTTTAAAGGAACAGAAATGGACTCTGAGGAACATTTCTGTAACATTGGGGGTACATTAATGTTGTTCGTACCTTGGGGGTGTACCTCGGAGATACAAACTGCTACTCTGTGTTAGATTCCATGGTATTAGATAACGACAATTAAAAAAAAATAAGAACAATTCTTTATTGTGCTGTATGTGGGCCAACAAAGTCAATCGTCGGCTGCTCTCCGTAGGGCTGTGGGGGACAGTCCGGCCCCGACAGTGTCCCAGACCGACATTAGCTTTGCATTATTTTTCCACAATTGTCTCATATTATTTGCATAACTATTTGTCTTTCTGTTATAGGTCTATGTTTTTTTTAAAACTTACTTTTCTGGTTTCAGCTGTTTGCCGGTGTTCAATTTCATGACACACCCTGGGTGTGATTCCCGGTCTGCCCCCAGCTTATATAAAAGGTGCGCATTGTGCAAGCCCCCGTTTCGGTGCACGACATCCGACGCGGACTTTGTAGCACTTTCACGGTAAGTTAGCGAGGTCTCTTCCCGTAAGCAATTCTTTTCGGGTATTTTAAAATGAGAAAAAGTACGTCAACCGTTTCTCGACCATTTGTTTGCATTTTTGTCTTCATTTAACCAAATATACCATTAAAATTCACATTATAGGCTACTTTAATTTGATTGTCTTTCTTAAACCGAACTTATTGATGATACGGTGACCCTTAATTGTCTGAGCATATGTTTATGGTTAAATAGGCTCGTAAAATCCACTTAAATAAATAATGGCAAACTCTATTTTCCTACTATTTGTTGGATTTAAACTCACACTCCAAAGAGATTAAAGCTACGATCATCAGCACTGTAACTGAAGCGCGGTGACCGAGCAAACATATCGCCATTAAAACAAAAGTAAGTAGCCTACTACTATTAAATCCCACTTTTTTGTTGTCGTCAGCTAATGTTTGATTCCCGAAATCACTGGCTACATTTTATGTAACAGGAGCAGAAAAAATGTTTACAGTTAGTAAGCTTACTTGGGAACAATGAACATGACGTTGATCCCATTACTTGTTGTCATACGCTGTCATGTAACAATTATATAGACAATTGCTATGTTTTTATGATTGAAATTATAATTATTATTTAGGAGGGGGGGCTGTACCTCGTCTAAAATGTTGTTTTGCCCCCCCCAATAATAATTAGTTTAAATAGTGTGCTCTCATTCATTTTCATTAAAATCACGCCCCCCTTTTCATAAATGTCTAGTGACGCTCTTGATGATGATGATGATTATTATTATAATAACAATAATAATAACGATGATAATAATAATAATAATAATAAGGACACTCATTTGAATTTACATCACTATTTGTTAACCGTATTGTAATTTAAAGCCGATTTATACATGTAAGTTCAACCAAATTATCCGATTAACTGATTATATTATGTAAGATAATATGTTCTTATTATTGTGTAATTAACACACACCCAGGTAATCAGTATCACCCATGTTGTCACTTGATTAACCTGCAATGCTCTTCCACTATGCATTTCTCGGTAGCAGCGGCGGTGATTATTTTGCAATGTTATTTGAACGTTGCCCAAGGTATTGTGTACGTTTTTTGGTTTTTCTTTAAAGACGCGAAGTTGCTCTGCAGGGTTCGTGTGATGCGTGTGAGAGGGTGGAGGCAGATTTGGCTGAGTAACTAGAAGCATGGAAAGCAGGCAGAAGAATGTTAGCTGGGAACAGGGTGTGGAATGCGCTCGGTATGCTGTATTTAACTGGGACATGCGTGTCACCACGGAAATCAGGACTGGTAACATATTACCACACAATCAGAGTGTTAAAAGCTTCACACTGAGCATTCTGTGCTGCAGGTATTTACAGATCAAAGCGTAGTGAGACAAGATTTTGGATCAGTAAAGTATATCTTATCTTATCTGCCATAATTTATAAATAATATATAATCCAGCTGCCTTATTGTTTTGCTTACTTTATATCATATGTGGTGCCACATAGGGAATATTCTTCAAACTACTTCCTTCTGGGTCACCGAAGGATTTGGGGCTGGATCTGCAAATGAACCAGCAGTGGTGGCTTAATGGTTAGGGAGGTGCACTTGTAGTTGAAAGATTGCAGGTTCGAATCCCTGACCAGCAAGGCACCCCTGAGGTATCCTGAGCAAGGTTCTGCCCTCAGGTGCTGAATTAGCTGCCCCCTGTTATATTGCAACGACATGTATAGGTTAAATGCAGAGGACACATTTTGTTGTTTTGTTCTGTGGTGTATCAACACTGATTACTAAAAATTCTACTAAAATTTCATAGCAGAAATGAGCTCTGCTTTCCCTTGTGGGACGTCTTTCTGAACTTGCCTCAGTTTAAATGGCAATTGGAATTGGAGTCACTTACAGCACTACCCAGTGGATAAAGAGTGATATTCACTTGCTCATTGTATGTCTTTATCACACAGGAGTGAATGGATTGAAGTGTGAATTAATTTTGTGTATATGTTTTGTTCTTTTTGGCAGACTGTGAACACCTGTGATAGAAAAATGTCGTACGCTTATTCCAGTAAGTCACACTTTCCTGAAATCACTGAAACAGTTGCCTGAAATAGTAAAATCTAATTTATATATAACTGAATGAAAAAAAGAAAAACTGTTCTAAATTTCCACACAGTATTTAACTTGTGTAACAACATAGATAAGATTCCATTTTCTTATGTCCTTTTCTGCTTTGGCAGAGGATCTGGACCCACTTTTGAGGCTCTGTCATTTCCTAAAGCATTTCCTAACGCAGGCTGCTAATGTTTGGTGTCCATGTAGAGTCAAAGACCAGCAGTCCCAGTCAGGCAATCGAGGACAGCAAGAAGAAGACCTCACTTCTCAAGGACAACAGCTGGATCAGAAAGGCGTCAGTCGAGGATGAACCTTCCGAGTGAGTCATCCTGCACCATATACTGACACTGGGGCAGAACTGACCATCTGCAGATAAAACGTAATCTGGTTGCCGGCTCAGGTTTCCATTGACCCTCTTTCATGTTGGCTCTGCCATCTATAATTTCTGTGTTCTGAGGAAGCTTTTTCGAGTTGCATCCATACATTAGTCATACGAGATTATTAAAATGCAAAAAGCCACAGTACATATTCTGCACTGTTGCTATTCAGTTTTGCAGAAGGATGGTTCATTTTCACAGCTAGACATAAACAGACTTGGGGGATTATCATATTATGTAATACATTCTGTGACACTCTCAAAATAGTCTTTAGACTGGTAGAATTATAAAATATATCGATCCGGCACTAGATAAGCAGTTCTGGAAGATGGATCAATGGAAATAAAAGCAATTTAAAAATAATAAATAACTTATTGTTAAGCAACTGATGTTACAGAATTATACTGTATATCCATTTAAGCAGAGAACCATGTGTTATGAAATGGAGCAATTTCAGAAACGATTCTCCAGACCAGAGTATTATTTTGTAAATAAGTAAACAAATAAATAACCAAGTAAGTAAGCAAGCAAGCTAAAAAAAGATCTCCTAGCTGCAGTATGTAGTTGCCAATATGTCAGCTATGCATAATTGTTATCAAACCATCACATTTGCCCACTTTGAGGAAAATGTCCTATTCTTCTCTTACAGACCCAGAGATACAAATTTTGGGAGGGCTGTACTAGGTCGATTTAAGTCCCAGGAGACTCTTAACAGGTAAAGTCAGTATGTCCTTCACTTATAAACTGCTCTTCAAGGGTTTTACCGTGATAGTGGAAGGCATACGCTTCATAATGACATGAAATTATTCTGCTGATACAGGACATCAGAACCAAAACAACCAGACACCGTGAACCAAGGCTCATCTGTACTGTCCCTCAGCAAGAGGTAAACAGTCTAAATGAGTGGTGTTTTCTCAGTACCTAGAAACAAATGACTCCTATACCTGTGCATCCTACCTATAATATATAGGGAAAAAAATGTTCATTGCTGGTTCATTTAGGCCATGAATTCAGATACATTCGGGCGACAAAATTCATTCCATCACTGTTCAATTCTTTTCTTCGCACCTGCTGACTGAATATTTTATTTTAGAGCAGAAATCAGGAAGTTTACGTTACATTGTCATTGAAAAAAATGACAAATTAATAAATTAATGCTTTATTATAGACTTATAGAGTAGGATGCTAGGACACATCACAAAAAGAACGAGGACAACATCTTTCCTGCTTTTTTAGGTTCAGTGCAAGCCAGGATGAACTGGCCAAGAGCAGGTCAGTATTCCCCTTCTCTCCATCACGTTCAGTTAGGCGTCATCGTTACTTTGACCATTTACGCACCGATAGGAGACCTTATGCATAACCAGTGACCATGAAGACTTATTGTTTCCTGTTGTGTTATTAGCACTCTCCCTTCCTCTGGCTCTAAGTTGAGGACCACCACGAGCACTACCACCAGAAGGTATGCTTTCAAACGTCAAACACCATGGCTAAGTGACAATGCAGAAAAACACTTGTCTTTATTCTAATAACAAAACAGGCAAATTTTGTTTGATACGAATAACTTCATACATTTTCAAACATACAAACGATTCTATAGACTTTTTATTTTTGTGCGCATGTTTGAATTATTTTTACAATATGCGCAAAGAGGCACCTGGTCACCAGTGATAATATTAAATGACAATGTGAAAAACATTATAATCCCATGCTCGTTATTTCTTTTATCCTGAGGTTGTTATACATGCATTTCCTGTGTGCCACTATTGTAGTTTCAGCACAAATGATGGTGAATCCGGTGATACTACAGTCACGACCGTCACCACAACCAGGTAACAAGCCCAGACGCCCCACGCCAAGTACTTTAAATGAGGAAACTGGCGAATAGGTGTGATTCAGTGAACAAGTCAGATATGAAGTATTTGTAAGTTACATAAACTGAGCCAAATATAGACCAACACAGAACCATAACACAACCACATTCAATGACCAATTGGGGAAATGAATTAAGGCAGGAACTTAAATAGACAAAAACAAACCGAGCTAACGAGAACGAGGGAGAAAACCATTAACCAGACAACCAATCAAACCCAACTCAAAGCAACAGGTGCAACTAATGAACAGGGATAATCACAGAACCTCTATTAAGCTAGAATACACTAATCTAGGAATACAAGGCTAATTATATAATTCAAAAGATACAAAACAAAACCAGAACCTAAAAAAGGGAGAGTGGACCATAGATGGGAGAAATGCGACAGAAAATGAACACTAAGAAAACCAAAACTACAAACTCTGAGGACAACAAAAGTTGAACAAAAACCCACAACAGGTGAGGTTGGGACTTGCCAACCTCAAACCCACAACTAGCAGGTTCTCCATCTCTGAGCAACATGCTCAGCCCGCTGAGGAATGCGGTGGTCCGGGGGGGAGGGGGAAAACACATGGGGGCTGAAGGGTGAGCGAGAGAGAGGAAGAAAGGATGATAATGATGATGATGCTGATCATGATGATGTATTAACAAACATTAGTATGAAGAGAATGTAAAAGTGCATTTATATGTATAATAAATGGTTTTCATGTTTAACTCTTTATAGGTCATCAGGTCTGAAAAGTCCTCTGAAGACCACGGTTGAGAAAGACTGGTCATCAAATGTGTAAGTGAAAAATAAGGCACATTGCAAAACTGCTAAGATGACTGTTATGTACAACAAAAATAATGATAATACAATGTATTAAACAATAGTATGAAGAATATAAAAATTGGATTCATATTTATAATAAATGGCTTTTATGTTTAACTCTTTATAGGTCATCAGGTCTGAAAAGTCCTCTGAAGACAACGGCTGAGAAAGACTGGTCATCAAATGTGTAAGTGAAAAATAAGGAATATTGCAAAACTGCTACGCTGACTGGTAATAATAATTTTAATAATCTTTTTATTGTTCAAAGTTTCTGTGCCCTCCCAACAGAATGTGCTGAGAAATGTTCACGGGACAAATCTTTGACCTTTAAGTATAAATATGTCAGTGGGTACTCCTGGTTTTAAATGGCAGGGCGTAAAGAGTGAGACAGACCGCAGGGCCGTTCAGACACACTCCGACATTTTTCTGTAATTTATTTCATGCCTCTTCCCACAATGCTTAGCTGTCAGACGACCTGACGCATTACTAAACCACACCCTGTCATACCAGGCCACATATTTCCTTCGTGTCACTAGCGATCCACACCCTCTGTATATTTACCTTTGTGTTCATCATAAGTATTTTCATGTGTTTGTAAGACTGCATGACAATCACTGTAAAAATTTGGGGTCTGGTTATGGCACTGAAGACATGCAATATCATGTAGGAAAAAATGTCATTAGTGATTGAGAAACCATGTAATCAGTCTCTATGCAGCTAATGAAATTAAAGATGAAGGCTGTCGTTACAGAAAGTTCCAGAAAATGCTTCTTACACAAGAGCAGATATTATTACTGGAATTTTAAGTGGCTGGCTGATAATGGAAATGCTTAAGACACAGGGTTGATTGTGTGGATATCTGTTCAACTGACAGTGCACTGCTCACCATCCAGTATTATAACCGATATGAATCTCTGTCTCCTTCTCTGATCTGCACATTGAAGAGGTTTCATCTTCATGAATTTCCATTTTTATTATGCACATGTATGAGAAACGTTTGTGGTATTTAAAATGTTCATGTGCACCACTGAAATTCCCTAATATTTTTTTCCCCAATATTAAGAACTTCAAAGGTGACCAGTACCAAAACGATCAGAACGGAGGTGACCCCAGTAACCACCACAAAGGACAGCACTGAGAAGTGAGTGATGCCCAAACGGTGCCCAATCCCTGATTTATTCATTTAAACGAGGCTCTAACACTAGGTGCATTTACATGGGTGACATGCTACCTAATTTACGATACCGTGTGTTTATGTGCAGAACAATGAGATCTGACCTGGGTTAATTGTTTCTCATCAAAAGGGCATTACAATGATTACAGCTTAAAGAGAAAATCGAATTGTCTGTGTCCCCTGATCTCAGAATCAGCCACCACAGTGAAAATGCCGAGCTACCTAATAGATGTAAAATCAAGTACATACAGTACTTTGCAAAACTCGTAGACAACCAAAGGAAATGTCTGTTTCAGTGTAAAACTATAACTTTATGTCTGTCGAAGGGTATCAGCTTAGCCATTTCAAAATGTCTCCTAAATTCACCCCAATACTTGTAGTAGCTTATTATAATAGCCCATATTTGTTGACCCAACCACTAGCATGTGTTACTGGCCTAATCAAAACCTCATAAAATTTTTAACAAATTCATTAATTGAGCTGGTGGTGCAGTTTAACAAATACAGAGGAGAGGTTTGGGAACTGAAGCGTTGTTCATCTACTGTAGTCATCCAACAAGATATCAGTAACTTTTGGAGAATATAAGAAATTCTGTTTTTGGTTTTTTTTTAATTGTGTTACTGTTCATTTGCATATAATATAATGGTAAATTACATTCTTTTCTGAGCAAATATACACTTACTTTCCAGCGTTAAACATTTTCTTTGACTGTCTAAGACTTTTGCACAGTACTAGTACTGTATATTACTTGCTTTAAGATCTAAATGACGTTAATGGTTTTTTTTGTTTGCTTAAGAATGACAGTCATATCCAGCACAAAAAGCAGTGAGGGTGCCCCAGTCGCCCCCCCCAAAGAAAGCACCGAAAAGTGAGTTTGATGGGGATTAGGGTTCGGAATAATGTTACTGTAGAATGATTGAATCAAATAAAAGTGTCTTAAAATTTTTATTACTGGTTTCAGCACTTCTCATATGTACGCAATACTACATATTTTATTATTGTCTTATAATATCTATACTTTTTTTTTTTAAAGAGTAACAACTGTATTCAGTACTAAACCCAAAAGCGAGGCGCCCCCAGTCATCGCCCCAAAGAAGAACGTGGAGAGGTGAGTTTAAAGGGCCATGAGGTCAGAGGTCAAAGGCACAGAGTAACCTTCAGAGTAATACTCCTATATGCATTTATTTTAAAAAGTTCTTATTTTTCTGTTTTAAAGTGTGTCCATCACTGAAACAATCAAAACAGAAGTGGACCCAGTCAAACCTACTAAGGATACCACAGCGAGGTTAGTCTACTACAATATTGGGGTTGAACTGACTATAAAAATCAACAATGAGTAGATTTATATGCATTTCCGAAGTGTTTCTTACATAGCAAAAGTAATTTACTGTAGATTGGCACAATGTGATATGCTGTATCACGTCTAAGCTATAAATATTTTTTTAAGAACCACTGTCGTGAACAGAACCAGCACTGAAGTCGTAAAACCAGTAATCCCAAAGGAGAGCTCTGACAGGTGAGTTGGGAAATATAGATGGGAGTAAAAGCCAAGCTGACTTGTTTTTTTTCACATATTACTGCTGTAATTGGATTAATTCACTCATTTGGTGTCAAGCACCACCATTATGATAAAGGTACTGGCAGCTACACAGTGCACTGGCTCATAAACCACTGATTTCACTGCACAAAGTTAATCCAACATGTAAAATTTATTTTTTAGTTCTGTAATTGTGACCACCACTAAAACAATCCTCAATGAACTGGGTCCGGTCTCAACGACTAAGCAGAGCACTGAGAGGTGAGTTTGTCGCAACTCTTTTAGACCTTACTTCATTAATCAATGTCTAAGTGCCGATCAGTACATCTGAATAGTGTCAGAAGTGCTTGTTATTCCCGAAGCTCCAGGAAAAAAAATGTTTACCCCACTTTTCAGCTTAACAGTGTTTATTATAAATGTTTATGATGCAAAAAAATTAAGTTTGAAACCCAAAGTTGTGGGATTATTGTGCGCTGGAGTCACAGACAAATTTCAGTCATTTCTTATTAGTTTAGCTATTTCTCGATTGATAACTTCGCAATGCTACTTACCATTGTGAATGCATTATTTATTTTGGCACTATTAATTCCTTAAGATTAAGATGCACTATATTGATCCCTTAAATTGTGATCTATTTTTACATGTAGTTACTTCTATTGATGCTACAAACATTATAATACAAATTATATTCCCTGACATTATATATAGTGTCATATAAAATTGGATAGCTAGTATAGGAATAGAGCGATTTAATTTCATACAAATATAAAATGCAGCTGCAACCAACACGTGAACTTCAGTGTTCTTCTTTTGAAGTACAGTGCTGCTTTTACCTAAAAAAAAAAACAAAACAGCACAGCGTATTGACTGGTGAGAAAACCGAAAGCATAGTTTAAGTGAAGGATTTATATGTTTATGGAAACATCTTTTAGCTTCTGGGAATAGAAGTTATACTCTTTCAATAAACTTTAAATGCTTGTCTCTTACAACATGTTTTAATTATGCTTAGATCATACATCAATACTCTGGAAAAAGTGACCTCACCCACAACCAGGTAAACACGTTTTACAAAACTTTTTTTTTTTTCAAAATCATGAGACATTACACATGGGGGAAAAATTAAACATGAAGGATGTGTCTCTTAAAATCAGGACCAGCGTCACAACCTACAGCAGCAGTGACTATTCACCATCAACAAGGGTGACAACAACCACTTTTGACAACACGTACAGTGACTCCAGGTAGGTCTCCCACCTTATATGAATGATTGACTTGTATCTCAGCCAGTATAGGCAAAATTCCTGAGCACGAATTCATAATTATAGCTTAGATCAATCATCGGGCAAACAAGCATTCAGAACCAATGCTGAGTAAATCTACCATGCATTATCAATCACTGATTACCTTAAATCACTTCCCATTGGCTCATTGTTCCCATTAGACGTAATCAGTGATTGACATTGCATGGTTACGACACCCTTCACGGGTAAACCTCAGTTCTCCCATGATTCTAAGATGAACTGTTGATCAGCATGTGTGTGTATATGTACCTTAGTTGCCCATGATGTTTTTATTCTGATACAAATCTCTGCATGATTAGGCTTCTGTGTGTGTAAGATCATCTTTATTTGCAGACATCTGGAATTACCTATAGTGCGTTTGCATATATTACAATATGGAATTTCATGTTGCATACAGAAAACAGCTGCTTATATACTTATACACACACACACACACACACACACACGTGTGTGTGGATTATGTTTATATTACGTTGTGGGGACGAAATGTCTCCTATAATATGATAAAAAAAAACTGATATTTTGATGTTGTGGAGACCATTTTTCAAGTCCCCACAAAAATCAGGGAATGCAATCAAAAAACTAAAAATGCTGAAAGTCTCGTATTTTGTTTGGTTACCTATGGTTAAGGTTAGGGCTGGGTAGGGCTTGTCATGTTGGGATTAGAGTTCTCCCATAGAAATGAATGGAGAGTCCCCACAAAGATATAATTACAAACCTGTGTGTGTGTGTGTGTGTGTGTGTGTGACAGAGAGAGAGAGAGAGAGAGAGAGAGAGAGCTCATATTCTTTACCTTATCCTTAAGAAGATTCTGGAGGGAGAAATAAATATTATATACCCCCAAGGTATTGGAGAACTATGACAAGGGAGAGCAGAGAATTTGATTCATGAAGCATTATTACCAAAAATCCTTGTAATTAGATCTTAGGAGACCATCATTAAACAGTTTGCCATTGTTTGTTAAATCATGTCCCTTTATGGCGACCATGTTCACTGATAATACTTTTATACCTTCTAGTTATGATCGTAGCATAAATTCAAGTCTCTATGCTTCACCATCATATACATCAAACAGGTGAGTATCACTATAGTTAAGAACCATCTTCTCGTTCAGTTTTGCATGATCAGACTCTGCAAGATACATGTGTGGATGGTTATTTTCACATAACACAGTCCAGCTCAGTCACGCTGATGTCATCTCTTTCCTTGCCTTTGATAGGACAATGAATTTTCCTGTGGATGATGTAGTCTCAACATCTAAAAGTCTGTACACAAGGAGTGAGAGGTTAGACCATTTGTAGTGATAAAGAAGCTCATGTAACTTAAATATATATTTTACATCAAGCATTTCTGTTTAGATGGTAATAAGTGTTTTTTAGCAAATATGAGTCAAGGTGAAGGTTGCATGCGTTCCTTGCAGGTCTGTACTTGAGAAGGACATCTGCTCTTCCTGCCGCAAACCCATGAGCACCGAGCCCAAGATGATCCTGAACGACATACAGATAAACTGCCATGCAACCTGCTTCAAGGTCTTTACACCCATCTAGAAAAATAATATAGACCTCCAGAACCTCTGCCTCCAAATGTGCAGATCCAACATAAGCATGTAGATATTTCCAGTATTCAACTAAAAACAGGAGTAAGGATGCGGTAATTGGTTGGCAGCCCATCCTGAGTTACCGGCCAGCCTTGTGTCTGTAGCTTCTGAGAGAGGCTCAGACCCCCGTGACCTGCATAAGAAAAGCAGGTGTAGAAGATAGATGGGTGGATGGAATGCAATAACGTAAAATGTTTGCATAGGAGTATGAAGTGGGATCATCTTTAGTTCCTCCTCTTCTCCTCCTGGTCTTGTAAGGATCCAACAGAAGATGTGTATGTGAAATGCATGCAGGGGCTTACCTAGAAATTCTGGGTCCTCTGACACAATATCTGGGTCCCCTCCCTCCACCCTTCACGTTATATAATTGTACATATTAATGGGTCCCTGTCAAGTGCTGGTCCCCCCCGCCCCCCCCCGAATCCGCCAGGATATCCATTCCTCCTGCGACACCTCTGAAAGCGTGCGAAGAGCGGAAAGTGAATTTGCCCTCTTTCTCCTGCCCAGTGTGACGTGTGCAATGGCCCCCTGGGGCACCTGAAGGCTGGGGACACCATGTGGGTTTACCGGCGTGCCGTCCACTGCGAGTCCTGCTTCAGCAGGGCCAGAGGTAGGAGCCCCTCAAGTCAAGTCAGGCTTTGTCCTCCTTTCAGACTATGCAGGCACACAGTGAAGGCCTTAAAAACAGGGAACATTACGAAGAGCATCACAAATAAATATGCTGTACATAACGCTGTGGGTGGTTAGCAAGGTAACCAGCTTGAGGCCCGATGCCTCTTTACATTTTCTGAATCTTCTACTTGCAAATGAGGTCATTGAATAGTCTTATTAGGTTGTTGCTTAGTTAGAATCTGTTGTGCAGCTCATGCTCCAATCCTGCTTACACTCGTACCTGGGCATTCACTGGAAGCTCAGCCTCACTGCATTTATGCCTAGTCAACTCCGTGACACATTCACGGATGTGCAATTTGCCTCACTTGTACGTCACTTTGGACATAAAGGTTGGCCAAATATCCAAAATGTACATGTGCCCAATGCGGCTTTGACTAGTACTGTGCAATGAGTTTGACTGTACATCACATGTGCAATTCTAAACTGAGGTAAACAGCTTAGAATTAAAGAATAGTGGGTATATAAAGTATACGGGCGGTTCTTTCACTAATATGTGCAAGTGATGCACAGTGACAGTGCTGATGGCTGATGATCAGTTACAGCACAGATTGTGTCCTGAGTGCAGGTGGGAAGGTGTGTGATTGGATCGGGGTCCCATGAGCGGAGCGGGAAGCTGTTCAGACTGTCCCATTGTTTGTTTTACAGAACAGTGGCAGCGCTGAGTTTGACGATCGCTGCATGGGAGTGAAGACGCAATGATGAAGTCTGCATATAAACTAGCAAAACATTAGCCAGTATGCTCTATATTCATGATAAGAGAATTGTGTATTGAACTATACTGTATCTATAGATTATTATTCTTCCCACTTTCATTTATGTATTTTCATGGGGCTAAGAAAGAGTTGAAAGAAACCTTACAGTAAAAAAAGGGATCTCTATCCAAACTTTCAAATCTTTATTGCAAACTGAATAGTACACTTCTGCAAAGCAACATTTATTTCCTTAAATCTTTAAGCTGCTTGTGGCATTTTTATTGCAAAAGTTAAATGCATTTTGTTTGATGTGCTTACTGGAACAAGCAATCAAAAAATAAAATTAAGTTCTACATAGTTTTGTTTGTGTCATTTACACTATTACGTTACACTGAAAATAGAAAATATTACTAATACAATGGACTCGACTTCAGAATAAAAAAATGAAATTTATATTGATGTCTGACGATTGAAAATAATTAATAAAACGATACAGTATAGAGTTGTTTTACTTATTTCTGTTGTTTTACACACTACGCTTTAATGTACGTTGTTCAATAAATTAAAATAGTAGAGTTTAATACATATGGCACATTTTGTTAATGTACATAACTGTGAGGCATACATTTTGTATTTGTATATATTACGGGTAATTGAATACTGACTCCACCAATAGTACTTGAGATCCTGTAGATTAAATACTGTCTCTGTATTTAATTAAATTTGTTTTCGTGCATGCATTTTTAGGGGAGGGTGGCGGTTTGGAATGATTAGCTTTTTGTTTTATGCTCTACATAATTAGTACCTTTGTAGCCTCTGTCTCACCTGACACTAATCAGCGGCGTCCGCAGACTCCGGCCCGCTTGGCTGCCACTGCGCCGGGCTTTCGGCTGCGCTCAGAGGGAGGAGACAGGCAGACTCACGGCGTGACCGGACCAGCATCCCAATGCTTGCTTTAAATTCAGTGTAATGCTGGAAACGGGGTGAACGGGAGCGGCACGAGGGCAGCATCGGCGACAAACATCGGCTTCTGTCAATATTTTTTATCATACATATAAATGTGTATTTTCCCCAATGGAAGCTGCCATATTGAACCATCAAATTATGGCGGACGTGAATTGCAACAATAACGCTGTAAACGCTGAGTTGGAAGTGAAGAAGCTGCAGGAACTGGTGCGGAAGCTGGAGAGACAAAACGAGCAGCTGCGGACTCGGGCGAGCGCCGTCAGCAGCCCGCATCTCTTGCAGCCGACACCTGCCTGCCTGCACGGGAGCGGCAGCCCCGATTTACCGGCCGCTTTCTGCATGCCAAGCCCGGTGTCGAGCCTCCTGCGCTCCGCAGCACCGGCACCTTTCCGCGCCCCGGAGGAGGCGTACGCCTGCTTTCAGCCGCACTCCGCCGATGAAGGTGTCTACGGCGGACTCTCGCTCCTGGATGAGCTCGATCTGTTAGACCTTCAATCTATATTCTCATGTGATGGGGACTCTGACGATACATGGTACTGTAGACCCCTTTTTTATTAGGACACATTGCATTTCATTGCATGTCATTTTCTAATCCATTGGCTGTGATTCGTGTTTAAAAGCCTGTAATCAGTCTGTTGCATTTATAATAAACCTTAACACTACTAGACTTTGTTCATAGGGCAGCGGATGCTACACAATTGGCCTGTATTATAAACAAAAGGCATGCTCCGTCTGCCCTAGTTAATTTAATTGTTAATGAACCTCATTGGTTAATATTGCAGCCTATTATTAAGCCTTATGTCCTCGTCTAAAAAGATTGTGGCTTCAGGAATAATTGGATTACACTAGGATTTCTAGAGATGAGAGAACATGGTGATATTAAAAATGCTGTATTTCAAATATGAAGCCCCATAAATCTAATGTACCTGTTACGGTCACTCGTATTTTTGGATTACCACAATGAACAATTCGTATTTATGGTTAATGTAACACAATTACTAAGCTTATTATTTATATTTGAAATACTCGTTTCACTATGCAGTGTTTTCATGCTTTAAACTACTATAGAGATGCGGGGCATCTTCTGATCGATATAACACTGACTTGCAGAATGCAGCAGGTGAACCCATTTGTACATCGTATATAATGCAGTGAAAAATTAGAAATATTCTCGTATATATTAGGTATACTTAGGGATGCCATTGGGTCCTACGTTATTAGGAATTATTGTGCATGCTTTTACATTTGCTGAAATGAATTGCCACTTTACACAACAAACAGATGTTTCGATATTATAGGAAATGGACTTATCGTGCGTTTTAACGTGGGGTAATGGTGTGTGTGTGTGTGTGTGTGTGTGTTGTGGTCATTTGACCCCATAATCCTCTCAGGAAAAGTTGTCTTGATTTATTTTAGCCTCAGCTATTTTTGGAATAACCCCAGGTCGCCACTGAACCCCAATAGGCTGACAGTGTAAGTAGCAATGACCATAATGCACTTTAAATTCCTGTTTGGATGGAAAAAAGAACCATTTCATTGACTGAAATATTTTACTGATTCATGGCTATGATTAAAAGGCTTCTGCAGTAAGTACCTGACATCTGCAATCCTCATGGAGCTCCTTAACATAGGACATCATCGTACTGGGTTTTCTTTGTATTGAAAGTTTGACTCTCATTTGTGTGTGGCTTATGAATCTAGTTCATCAAGCTTAGGCAAATGAACATTGGTCTCGGTAATTTTGACAATGTAAAATTACCTTGGATGTCATTTCGGACCATGAACAGCAAAAATGGAAACATTTTCAAAAATATATTAAGGGCAACATAAAATCATTTTCAAATTTACAGCCCTTTAGATGCAAAACACCTGGAAGAGCAGCTTTATATAGTTGGGAAATGGGACAAACATTAAAGGAAAAATGTTTGGAATTCAATACTTAAATCGTGTCAACGTCGAGGTTGCAGACCTAGTTGCTGACACAGCAGGTCCCATTTGTGATGCTGGGAGCGAAAATGGTCAGACCTTACAGCCACCTGGCTTTGGATATTTCAGTTTTGCTAAAGACACCATGTATAACGCTGTGCTTATTTTTAATTAAGACATCTGTCTTCAGAAGAATATACATGGATAAGCTCAGCGGTCAGATAAATCAGCAGAAAAATCACATGTAATGTGTCCATCAATCCTGTTGCTCTAGATATTTGAATATTATTAACCTGCTGTGTATGATTCACTTGCACAGCTGTGCACTGAATAATGGATACGTACAAGGCTAAATCGTGTTTGTGGTTCAGGGGAAAAGGGAAATCTAGTTTTGATTGTGCTGGGTGTTTTATCTGCAGATTTTGGGAATTAATACGGCTCAATGTAATGTAATAGGATGGGTTCAGTTAAAATGTTAAATGCAAGTTTCTTGAACTGTATAAAAAACCAGAAGTGGAAAGTTCAGGTCCAGAAAGTACAAATACAGGCCAAGGTTTTGTTTCAACCAACCAGTTGAGCGTAAAGAATTAAAGTCACAGAGTACTCAACTGGTTGGTAGAAGCAAAACCTTGGTCTGGATTTGTACTTTCTGGACCTGAACTTTCCACCTCTGTAGAAAACCAATGTTGGTGACAGTCACAGTTTGATGGCTTCGTGGCTCAAAGGCTGACGTTGTCAAGGGGGCTCCGGGGTTGTGGGGACATATTTGGCTCCCATTCTGAGTATGAATTTGTACATTTTATTTGTAGGTTTCCTCTTATACTTTGGGTTCCCAAGACATGCTTTTCAGATGAATTGATGGTTATTTAATTGCCCTTAGTGTGGCTATCTGTACGTTTACTGTGACAGATGGGTGTCATGCAGAAATTGGATGGGGATGTAAATTAATTTGCTGCTGTTGATAGGTGTATAAGGTTTCTCTTCCTCGATCATTTCCTCATGCCTGATGTGTTTTGCTGGGTCCCATGGCATGAAAACAGGGTTAATGCCTTATGAAGAGATGAAACTTCGTGGCTGTGATACGGGAAGCCTGGGGAAATACCTCAGGCTGTTTGTCTTCAGCGAGGGTATTAGAGTAAACGACAGTACATTTTCTTCTAAATAAAAAAAAATATTAGATTTGTCTGCAATGTAATAGCATTGTTAGTCAGTTGCAGGAGAATCCTGCTTGAAGGGTGTATGACTGACTTGCTCCACAGCCTTCACATTTTTTTCCTGAGCTGGTTATCTGTCTGGTTGACTAATTGGCCAACAATTCTTAATGTTGTTACACGCAGACTCTAGCTACTATTGGTCGTCTTGTCACAATATAGACGGTTGACTTGATTTCAGCTCTGTGTGACATATTGATCTTGGGGAGAAGTAAAAGTTGGGTGGATCCTAGTGCCAGCGTTGATTATAATCAGGTTTGGCTAAAGGTCTGAACGGTCAGTCAAGGTCAAAATTTCGTGCCCCCTGGAACTTTGCTACAACTGAAGGATCATCATTTCCTTTCAGGGGAGGAAATGACATCAGGACAGACAATGATAAAGGTATGGCTGAGACTGGTTGTGACATTGCTGTTTTCCCTGCAACCTATAGGCTCTATGTACCTCCGAAGGCCCGGCTTTGGACTGAGAGCTCCCTCAGCCCACTCCGGTGGTGCCGGCAAGTTTTGGACGACCCTGGGCCTGAGGTGGAAGGTGCCAAGCGCTCCCTGTGCCATAGGCTGGATCAAGGTACGCAGTGCCATCAGCGCACGTCTCTGCCCTCCTGCACACGCCCACACGCTCCATACCTCCGTGACACGCCTGCCTCCTCTCCCCACACACACCTAGAAACTCCAGCGCTCTGCACAAACACCTGCCGTATATCACCACTCCCTTTTCCCTTGATCCAATTTGTCGTGAAATCGATTTTGACGCCTCCGCCAGATCCCCGACGCGTTTTAAGGGACCTTTTCCCTATTATGTAAAAGAAGTCGTTTGCATTCTTTCAGACGCTACCAATTACATGCATAGTCTGATCAGTCTCACACCTCTGCGTTAACCCAGAGCCAGTAAACGAGGTGAGATCACACGCCTGGCGTTTTCATGTCAAGGTATTTAAGCGTCGGCGAAGCGTTGCGCCGGCGGGGATTCGGCTGTGAAGTGGCACTTGTGGGCAAAATGAACGGCTAGAGTTCGTTTTGCTATGGTGAACCGAGAGGACGTTCTGCTGAGCAAGGAGATTGTAACTGTGGTGTGATAAAGCCCAAAGTAGAGCAGGCCGTAGAGGATTACCACCCAACGTACTCCGGACTCTGCCGGAAAGCTGCACAAAACAAACACGCACAACTCGTCCTCTGGCCTGTTCTCGGTGTAACACCCTCCTGGGTTGCTTCTGCCCTTGTTCTAATCTACACTGTGACCCCAGTACTCAGTTATAGCACTAAGACACGGATGCATGCAAATTTGTGCTGAGATCTTAACCTTACAAGGATGCACTTTGTGCATTAAGAGTACGGAGAGAGTAGGTTAAGTATTTATATCTGTCTGGACTGTGTAGCCTGGATCTGGGTAGTGATGATGCACTGATCTGTGTTCATCTAGCGGGGCTAAGCAGTAAACCAGGCCAGGACCTGCATTAAGGTCTAGTTTTAAGGATTTGCTGATAGCCTCTGTTCCCTCTGAGGAGTCTTCCGAGTGCAGAGATCTACTGATGTTTCTGAGTGGCACGTTGTGTGCAACGTGTGATTGCGTTTGTCTGAAATAGGACTGGGCGATATTTCAAACGATTTACCAGCTTATCGTCACATAAAATTTAAACGATAAGAAAATGAGAAACTTCAATAAACGGTAGAACATACAGAATGCGAGGACTTGCAGTCACAGAAGCCAACGATGTCAAACCGGACCTGGAACGAGACGCGAGGCAGTAAGAGAAAATACCCAGCAGCTAACCATACTGTTGGCATTTTCTACAGTAGCGTCACGCTACTCTTAAGCAGAAATGTTTATTTTTTTAAGATTTATTTCTCAAAATTAAGTTTCAGATTATTCAATTTCTCATGAATTTGCTCAGAGGGAATCGTAAGGGATTTTAAAACCAAAACGGAGCCTTGAAATAAAGGGATAATATTCTGTTAATTATCAATATTGATTGAAACAAAATGCCATTTTAAAATATTCGAATCTCCCAGCCCTTTTCATATGAACTATTTTAACCAACCATGCTAGAGTTTCAGCAATACATCGTGATGGGGTCATAGGTTAGTAGGACAGAGCAAAGCTCTAATCTGATGATGAGCTGTTAAATCGCTTTGCCCTGTAACACCTGTGCTTTGCTGGGCCTCTGATTTGTTGTAGTTTTATCCCCATATTAGCGTTCATGGACAGGGGACAAATTACAGCAAGTGGCTCATTTTTATCATAGCAATTACCCTCCGCAATCTCACTGTAGAAGCAGATTACAGCCGTTTCTGCTGCTGCTGAATCAGCACAATCTCACAAAGTTCAAAACAAGTTTTCTAAATCCATTTAATATGTTTGTCAGGTTTGAAATTTCAGTCATACAGTATGTGTATCTTTGGCCTCTGTTTGCGTGCATCATATAAATGGCTTAAATATACTTCTTGATTTATGAACGGTGTAAAATGTGAAATTTCAAGCTTGACTTGCGGGATTGGTTATGCCACAAATGTGTTTTGAAATGAGCACAGACCTTGTATTTGCTCTGAAGGGACTTAATAGTGTCTGAACTTCAGGGTAGGTAATAAATTCAGCCTTGTGTTTAAACGTCAGGAGCCGCTTGTTTCTGTGGCAGGCTGTAAACACTCGCTTTGTGTAGCTGCGCTGAGGCTAATCGTTTGAGGTAGGTCAGAGGCTTCCTCCGACGCCTCAGAATAACCTTTTTGTTCCGGAAGGTGGCTGAATCAAAACAAGCCTTTGCACATTTGCAGTAGAAGATCACAGCAGAACAGGGGGTGTTCAGTGTGGGAACAATCGTAGTGCCAAAGACTGAAGGGCAGCACCGTGTTTTTATTGTTTCTGTGCTGTTCCTTCCTCTCTGGCTCTGAATATGCGCTATCCCAGCATGCCGCGGGGTGTGGAAATCAGGACAGCGTGGCATTTTGCCTGCCAAGCAATAGTATTTCAGTTGTCTTATCTGAAATCGAAAGGCTGTCACACACTTAAAGAAAACGAACCGATTCTAAGGCCGATCGTGCGTCAGGGAGGTAATGGGGTATATGCTCCGGGGACCGGAGATGCTGCAGCTCTGTTGTGGGGGCACGTTTCCGTTGAGCTGGCTTCTGTAACGTCAGTGTCTCCTGAGCCCCTCCTGTGGGGACTGGGCTGATTCTCTGCTCCCCCTGCAGTGTGTCAGAGGGGCGTGGACGTCCGTCACTTTGCTGCAGAAGCCGCTTCTGACCGCTCCCTCGGCTGCCTTTTAGTGGGTCAAGCACATACCAGCCTCTCTTCTCTCCATCTGGTCTAACTGGCTCTTCTGTCCCCCAGTCCAGCGGTGGAAAGGCATCTTTTCCAGCTCTGTATCTCAATCGCCCCCCTACGCCCCCGTGGTTGGAGTGACCCCACTCAGCAGCTCAGCCTGGGCCTGTAACAGACCCGCTCACGCAGACCGCCCAGGTAACCCCCCCTGCCCTGTGCCGTCTCATCGAGCTAACGGCACGCGTCACCGCTGTCTCCTCAAACGTCCTCTGTCGTTTTGCCATGGTACAGCGGCGTGCCCCACTTGCCAATCGCTGAAATACCGCGCAGTTCTACAACTCAATGATGTTTAATGTTCCGTTTGTGGTTTCAAGGGGAGTTTGTTGTTGTCATATGACTTTAATATAACCTACGTACAGGACTGTCCAGGAAGGGGGAGACAGGGGAAGACATTCAGGGGCTCTGACACTAGGGGGCGCCCATGAGTGTATGGGAATGGGTAATTGTAGCTTTGATTGGAGGGGGGCATTCAGTAGAAGAATTCAGGGGTCCAGCCTATGGATTAATCTGAGATGTTTTTATAGACGTATAGAGTATTAAGATTATGATATAAGCTGTATGTTGTATAAAAACTGTATGCCACGTTGTTGTAGTTTACAGTTATTTTTCAGGATTTTGGAACAATTACGACTAATCTGTTTGTAATGAAACTGAGAGAAATGAAACCTCTGTGAAATGCCATTTAGCTCTGAATAGGTCGCTTTGTCCTTCCCTAGCAATGGGTTTAGATAATTAAATTTTTTTTAAAGATGCTTTTTTAATTAGCTGTAGTTATACATATCATTTCTGAGGCTGATTTCTTTCGAAATATTTGGCATATAGTATTGCGAATTTGGTTTGGCCATTTCCCGTTTGCAAGGCTACAAAGACTAAATTTAAATTATAGGATCATGATACTCATGCTATTTGTGTATTTTCTCCCGATAGCTTCCGTTATGACTGGTATCTCATGATTAAATCACGCCTTAATTGTTATTGTTAAATTATAATAGTTAAAAAAAAATAAAAATTTACATTGAAGTGTAATTGTTCTATGTTCCAGTTCAAAACTGACTCAGAATATTGCCCTAATTTCAATGTAAAATTAAGGATTTTTGAGGTACAACAAAAAAGATTGTGGCGGAAACCCAGAGAAACATGATTTCTCCTCCCCCCTTTTGTCTAGCTGCATTCTCTCCATCCAGCCATCCTCCGCTCCCCCCGATTCAGACACCCAATGGGAAGGACTGCTCCAGTCTAGCCGAGAGATCTCCCACATTCCTCTTTCATTCAGCCAATCACAGTAAGCTTCGCTGACACAACAGTATTACTGCAAACATACTGTCATCCATTATGGCCTCTCTGTGACTTGCTGCAATGCTCCAGATCAACATGTACCAAAAAAGAGGCCATATAGTGGACAGTATACATAAATGAAACAGATTTTATTTGTGTGGCTTGTTAAAATGTTTCTTTACAAGAATTTCTTGTATGAATTTTGTTTGTAGGCATTAAATGCCCCTTTCTACCCACCATAACTTTGATTCCGAAGGTTATGGCGGCAGGCATCCTCCTCTCAGTCCGGAATCCTCCATGGAGAGCGAGATCAGTGCCTCGGAACTGGAGGATGATTCCATCTCCATGAGCTACAAGCTGCAGGACCTCACCGACGTTCAGATAATGGCTCGGTTACAAGAAGAGAGTAGGTGTCCTTTGAGGTCACCATGATGTTCATTGAAGGTGGGGGAGGGGGAGGGATGATGCCTGCAAGGTGAAACTGGACAAGTTATAGAGAGATGCTGCTTCAGGACTTACCATAAGGCAAGGGTAGGGAGCTGCCTGTGCACCCAAAAACATAAGGGCCCCATGAAGACAGAATTCCTAAAAGTCACATTGAGATATATGGATATAAGATAATATGTTAATTTAAATTATAGCAACAAATTTGTTTGCATTTTTAGCAGCAGTTTTCAGGATAGACGATGTTGCCCCCCCCATCCCAGATTAAATGGACCATTCCTACGTGCTGCCCAGTTTTTTTCCCCCACAAAGGAGTCTAGAGCAACGGTTACGCGACTCAAGATTATTTTTAAGTGGACAGTTATGTTGTGAGAGTCGAGTCGAATTATCGCTGATGACGTCATTTAATGCTTTGCTAAAAGCCATAATTTTCTTTCGCAAAACTGACATCTGACCACTCGTACGCCTGTGTTTTACGTGGAGCAGAAACGGGTAAAAACAACAACAGGTTGCAACTCCGCAGCAACAACTTATGCAACAATAACACTTGTATGCTGCAACTTCCGTGGAAGTGCAAAAATACAAAAGATTGAAATGTCGGTATAACACTTGGAGAGGAAAGCCTTACTCACGCAGGATCCAGTCTGCCAGCCGGCTCTTCCTTGTCCTAAGCTGTTTTCCCACCAAAGTTCAGGAATCTGGTTGCTATACTTCCTGGCCGTCTTGACCAGGAACTTTTGTAGCTACTGGCCACTTTCATTTATCACTTTCTCACCGAACAACAGGAACTGGGACCATTATACTAAATAATCATGGGAGACGTAAAAAGCTCGTAGCTTAAACTTCACACGTAATTCCATTGTAAACTACACCACCACACCAAAACAACGGTGGAACAAGAAGTCATTTTATTAGTTATTTGTTGCTTTTACTCATATTTTATATGACCCACAACATGTTTATAATTCTTTAGTAAATCTGGCTAGTCACCTAGTCTGTACAAGCCCTAGTCTAGAGCCACCGTCACAAAGTAGCTAAGAGGAGAAGAAAACGGCACAAAGACTTGCAATAAATCTCCTGTGTATTTGATACTATCAAGCTAAAGTAGCAGACAAATTGTGAACAGACGTGGGGAGAACAACTAAACATATACAAAAATTCGAGACTAACCTTAGCCTCAGGGGCATTGCAAGGTATGGGCTATCTAAGGTATGGGCTATCTAAGGTATGGGCTATCTAAGGTATGGGCTATCTCAGCCTACAGCAGTGGGCCACAACACGGGCAAACTTTTTAAATTTGCCTCATTGATCCAATGTGATACCCCCCCTTCCCCCAATCAGCAAATTTTATCTCATCACTTTCTCATCCCCACCCTTATCATTAACTTTTACCACTGGCACCCCAGGCTACGACGAGCATATTATTATGGATTTTGCATCGTCCCAAAAATTGACTCAAAGCGGCCCCCCCTACCCATGTCAGTGCAGGACCCCCAGAGAAGTTAGTCCACCCCTGTGCTGCTTCAGTGTTGCTCCTGTCTGTTGAACAGATGTGTGTTTTTTTGTGTGTGTGTGTGTGCGACGTTGGGTAGTGGAGGGGGGGTATGATAGTATTACAGCCATGTGCACTGCAGTTGCACTACGGCAGTCAAATAATTGAAGTGGAGAATTAAATCCAGACTTTCTAGCCTCAATTCGCCCGGAGTTCCTGAGCAGATGTGCGTCTATCAGTAATCACTTCCTTTCTCTGGGCTGGGTATTTGTACTGAGGGAAGTCGGATAAACATCTTGTTCAAGTGAGCAGCTGCAGTGATTTGGACCGATAGGAATTAGCTTAGTATGTTTCTTTGAGCAGCCTGCTATCACTGACAGCCATCACTGTGTGTGTGTGTATGTGCGCCGCCCTGCAGGCCTGCGGCAGGACTACGCCTCCACCTCGGCCTCCGCCAGCCGCCGCAGCTCCAGCTTCTCCCTCCACGCCGGCCGCCGCCCCCCCTGCGAGGAGCCCGAGCCACAGGATGAGGAGGACGAGTATGACGAGCTCCCGCCCCCGCAGCCGCGGCTGGCTCGCGCCCGCCCCCTGCAGCGCAGCCTCTCGCACTCCCACAGTTTCTCCGGGGCCAGGGACTGCCGCCGTAGCCCGTCGGCCCCCCAGTGCCTGGGGGGTCTCTCCCAGCAGCAATATTCCAGCAGCCCCCTCAGCAGCTACATGCCAGAGGCTCTGGGCCACAGGAGCAGCACAGGTAGGTGGGGGCTGGGGGGGGGGCTCCGTGCTTCCTGGGAAGGGGGGGGTCCTTTCACATATATGCTTAGTTTAGTTTATAGTGTACTGGGGAGCCCATAAGGAAGTGCCCAATTATCTTAGCAGAGCTGTGAATCTGTAAATGAAAATACCAGTTGTACACCAGTATACCAGCCATAGACCAGTATATTGACTTGTATACCAGGATACCAGCTATAGACCAATATCCCAGCTATAGACCCGTATACCAGCTGTATGCTCGTATGCCAGCTGTAGACCAGTATACCAGTTGTATATCAGCTGTACACAGTATACCACCGATTGACCATTATACCAGCTATAGACCAGTGTATAGATCTGCTGTACTCCAGTATATCAGCTGTACACCAGTATATCAGCTGTGCTCAAGTATTCCAGATACAAACCAGTATACCCATTCCTGGTATTAGAATCCCTACTTTGCAGAGCCTGGTATTGGTGCCAAGCATATTGTCAGGGGTTTGAACCCCCCCGCTCATCCCACCCCCAAAATTTATTTCTGGCTACGGGCCAGAAAGTTCTGGTGCAATGACAGAGTAATATTTGAAATTCACACATGTACAAATTCCCAGTAACAAATAATTTCAATGACCACCCATTATTATTTTTGTTTTATATAGTTTTCTTTAATTTTTTACATAGCACTATAAAATTCATTTATTATTAAGTGTAACATGGTACTGCAAAAAATGTCCATATATCAACATACAAATCCATATTTATTACCTCATTAACTGCTTGGCGGTTAGGTAATGTCGGGCTGCAGTGGGTGTTTTTCATTGTTAGGGAAATTTTGCAAGAAATGAATTGGGGTTTCTTGGATGGACCTGGAACAAATTAGAATTTTCCTCATAAAAATAATGAAAATAGTGCAAACTCAAATGTTTGGGAGGTTATCTGTGCATTTTCTAGAAAGCCATTAAAACAGGGCATATGCGTATTTACCTCCATTATGACAAAATTTTTGCAGAGATTTTGTGCAGGAAATCAATTACTTTGTTAGGCCCTTGTTAAGACAGGAAGATATATGTGGATGAACTAACGTACAGCAACGAACACGTCAAACATTAACACACATTTTTGTGTGTTTTTGTGTGTGTGCATTTGTGCTCGTCTCCCTTGTCTGTCTCGTTAATGTCTAAATTTTGGGAAAACTAGGCTCTCCTTCCTGGACTCAAGCTGAACACGAGAGTAAGTTTATGATTTTTTCTCCTTCAAAAAAATGGAACGATTGTGAGCAACTTGGGAACCGATGTGGTTCTTCAGGGTATTATTTCTACATAAGTGCCCTGAAGCTTTTAGAAATGTCTTATTCTAGTAATAAAATTCAGAAAAATTCAGAGAAATAATGAGCAGATGTTGATCAGACTATTCTAATAATAGTAATATAGGCAGTCACCAGGTTCCGAACGAGATCTATATCCTAAGTCTGTCTTTAAGTTGCATTTGTAGGTAAATTGGAAAAGTAATAGCTCATAATAATAATAATTAATAATAATTAATAATAATAATACAGTGCATAATACTAATAACAATAGTAGTAGTAATAATTATAATACAGTGCATAATACTAATAACGATAGTAATAATAATAATAATAATAATGATAATGATAATAATAATAATAATAATAATAATTAGTAATATAAAGGCTTGGTAGGCAGGCACATTTGGGTCCTGCTGCCAGTGCATCTGAAGGTTGTTTGTTTGCGAAGCACAAAGCTGTTGCAGCACATTGCACTTTTCTGACGGTATTTGGCTATATACACTCAGAGGAACAAACATTGGAAAAATGGAAACAAAAGAACAGTGTTTCCCCTCTAAACTTGGTTAGAATGACTTATATATATGTTCTATTAATTGAAGCGTAGCATCCTGTTTGCTGTGTGTTTTGGATTCCTCTCTAACGTCGAGCCAGATGTGGCTGTTTTTTTTCCATCACTTTCCCCCTTTACCTAATCTGCCAATCAGATTGCATTAATCACAGTAACTGGCACTCATACTGCAGGCAGTTACTGTCCTGATAGGTCGGCAGTTGGTGCGTAAGGCACTCGTATGCTATGCAGTGTGTGATGTGTGTGCATTTGTGGTGTTTCTGAAGCCGTGTTACTTTGCAGATAAGCTGAGGAGAAGCATGCCCAATCTGGTGCGGGCTCCCAGCATGCCGAGCGTTCCCGGCCTTCCCAGCATTCCCGGCCTTCCCGGCCCCGTCGGGCAGACCAGCTCCCCGTCCCTCCGCAACAGCCAAAGCTTCGACTCCTCGAACGTGCTGGCCAGGATGCAGTCCTCAAGTACGAGCGCCAGCCTCTCTCCCGCCGTTCCCTAAGCTGTGACATCACTCTAGCCGCAGTTCACGTTGACAGACATCCAGCCTCTGCCGGCAGTTCGTGGAATCTCCTATAAATCGACAGCAGCTACCTGACAGCTGGGAATGATGCACAATGTGCCAGAAATCTGTCATTATGCTATTCAGCGGCAGCAGAATTAGCTGGCAAAGAAGTTATATTGGTGCAACCCTGCCACACATGGGACGGCAAATTTTTCTGCTGGCGTCCCGACATCGTCTTAGCTAGTCAGCACTAAACTGCATTATTCTGACAGTTTAAAAAAAAAAAAAAACACAACAAAAAACAAACACGCAACACTCTACTGGTATTTCCCATTAAAATTTGCGGGGAGGATTGGGCAATCACCATTATACCGCCCATGCCTAACCAAAACCCCCCTTCCAGCTGTCCCCCATCCGCCTCCCTGAAATCAGTATGCATAAGGTGGGATGTCTGTGTTACCATTTACATTTTCGTTCAGGTCTAAATAGGCACATTATTTTAGTCTAAGAAGTTTTATGCAAAAAAATACAATTGGTGACTGATCTGTTACATAGTAGCTTCTTTGAATCGCCAAGGCATTGATGTGGTAGAGGGGCTATATCCCTAAAATTATTTTAAGGTCCTTAAACAGAGGAACCGTTTAGACATTTTCTGAACGGTTCCGCTTGAATTTCATTCAATTTATGGCTTTTGAACCAACTTAATTGATGCCAGTCTAGAGTAGAGTATTCATGTAATTTTAGAGATTTGCATATCGCACATCACCTTGCCCTGACCTGAGTGCCCCCACCCACCTGACTGACATCCTGTTTCCCGCTAAGTTCCCTCCCCAGGTCAGCTCCAGCACCGTGTGCAGAGCGTGGGCAACTTCTCCGCCTTGTCCCGACCTCCCACCAAAGCCACCGCCTACGTCAGCCCCACAGTACAGGGCTCCACTGCCCCCTCCCCCTACACCAGTTTGCACTCAGGCTCCGGCAGTGGCATCCCCCTCCCCAACAAACCCGGCGCCTCATCCATTCCGGGTCGCAGCGCCCTCCCGAGGCCAGCATCCATCAACGGGACCAGTGCCATTCCCCGCAGTAAAATAGCTCAGCCTGCACGCAGGTAAGTGAGCCAAGCGGAGCAGCAGGGGTGTAGGAACCGGAGGGACAGGAGGGACAAAACCCCTCGGTATTCATAAAATTTGGACAGCGTGAATTGGGACTTTGCCATCTTGCTCATTTGACTTCCTCTGCCAGCCCCTGGAGGATGGGCTCCCCCTTTGAGTCTGGTTCCTCCCAAGGTTCCTCCCATCTAGGGAGTTTTTCCTTGCCACTGTCACCTCAGCTTGCTCAATGGGGGGGCTTTGGGCGGGGAAGACAATGTAATATAATGTGATACAATGTAATGTCATGAAAATGCACTATACAAATAGAATACAATAGAATGAAATGGAATAGGATTGAATTGAATTGAATTGAATATTTGGCTTCATTCATTAAGTTAAATAAATTAAGTTGTGTCCCCCAGTATCAAACATGCCGTTGGAGAGCAATTCAGGTACTGGAACATTTGAAATGTCCATCTACAGTAATGTACGATGTAGGGAGGCATTATCACCTAGTTCAGTAGCTAATTACACTCCGGTGCATCATGAATTATACTTGTAAGGCTTTATCTTCAACATGAGATCGGGTATAATTCTTTAATTCTCTTCCAGCTTACTCACGCCCCCGAAAAGCCTGGCTGCGCTCAGCGCTCTCCGGGACGGAAGCTGGAGAGACGGATGCTACTAATGTCAGCCAGGCTCTACCGACAAGCCAGGAGCTCCGGCGGCGTTTAGGCCCAGCAGGCTGGGCCTGTCTGCTTTGCCTTTGAAGTACTGCTGAAGCAGAACGTACTCTGAGCAGCAGCGTGGAAATGCAAACGTGTCGTTTGTGCAAACAAAAGATGACACCGCAGCCTGAATAGCGTTTGAACTGAGGTGAAATTTTATGCATTGCAAGGATGCTGTTGTTGCAATATTGATTTTTAAAGTTGTATCCTAGCCAAAAAGTCAAACTACATCTTAACATTTAAAACTGTTTACAAAACCATACTTACGGAATCAATTCAATTTTGCAGTTTTTTAAACGATGGAGACTGAAAAGTGAATGTCTGACCTTATCAGAGGAATAAATGAAATATGTAAAATCTTTGTACAGTTGTGGTGCCTATTGTAAAAGTGTTTCAGTTCTGATTTTGTGTTTTATTTACTCTGGATCTTTGCTGCACTTTCACTGTTATTTCACTGTAATAGAAAGAACTAGTTTCACTTAAGTTTATTTGATTTGTTTGTTAAATACGCAAAGTTAGCAATATAGTTGTACTGTCACTGGTTCTTTTAAGTTCAGCTTATCTTGTTCTAATGCATTTGTTGCTCCTTTATGTTTATATATATTTTAACAAAAAAAAAACTTGCTGTACTCTTGCACAGATCTGATAACGCCGTTTCTTTTTCTAAAATAATTTGTTGTTTGGGAATCACTGTATTTTAAAATGGAAATAAAAGGTTTTACATAATGTTTTGTGTTTGTGGATTTGAAGAAAGGTTTACCACCTGAATGCCACCTGAATGTAGTTATTCTAACAACTGATACACAGTGACTTCTTAAGACCTGTGGCCAATGAACTAATTTTACTGAATTAGTTCTGTGTCATTTTTATACCTGAACACTGAAACTCAGAAAACCTTTGTAGTTTCATTAAAAAAATATTCTTCGTACAAATTTTGGGGGTAGGTATTGTATTTATTAGCTTTGAGAGCTGTTCAGGAACACTTTTCCAAAGCAGAGTATGTAAGCAGTTGTGAGTTCATATTGTTATGCTACTAAGTCTGAGTGCCAGTACAGTTATGTGATATTTGTGTAAATAACTCCACATCTAATTGGAGAATTTGATAAACCAAGTAATGATAAAATATAAAATTAAAAAAATAAAACCTTTGTTAAACATATCACAGAGGTAGCTTATCAAAATGTAAAACAAGAGAATAAAATCTGAATAGAAGGTTAATAATAATAGGAGTTAATGAATTATACACTTTGAAAAGAACTTGTTGACCTTGGCAGTGGTGTGGTCTGTCATAATACGATTACAGCGATTGCGGCCAGGAGTGGGCATTCAACCAACAATTCACAGGGGCCAAACGCCAGCTCATTCAACGGCTGCCAATGCCGTCCCTGAACCGCGCGCGCTCTCATACGACCCTTAAATGTCGTACATTTACCACTGAAGACACTGAAGCTTTATTCTCATAAAATAACCGAAAGACCAATTTATCAAAATACCATTCCCATACCGGGAGTCGAACCCGGGCCGCCTGGGTGAAAACCAGGAATCCTAACCGCTAGACCATATGGGATACTTGTATACTTAATTAATTGTATTGTATTTAATCCTATTTGGATTGTTATTGCGCTTTGAAGATTGAGCTGTGAGATAAATGAAATAATTAGTAGTGAAGTACATTTATATTTTAAGGTATATTTATGTATTAGGACAACGTTCATTAATGAGAATGAAGGCCTCAAATCATGATTCAGCAAGTAATACAAAATTTAAGTGTTTAGTTTTCTTTGTTTAACTTCTATATTCGATCCATAAATCGACGTAGAAGCGTTTGTGTTACAAACAATAGCACTGTTGGCTGTGCCTCTAACAGTGATCTAAACAGACTAGTTGATTAAAAAAAATCTCTGTCAGATAATCTACTGAGATGCGTTTGACGTATAAACATAAAACGATTGCGTGTTGAGTTATTAAAGGCTAAGAAATTTGATGATTAATTAAGAAATATAATTAATTAATACAAGTATTGAATTCCTGTCAATGCTACAAAAAAGTTTATAAGTCTTTTGATTCAATTATAGGCCTATGGTATTGTAGCATCTTGTAGGAAGTAAGTTATGTTTAAATTTATTTTAGTTCAAAATGTAATTTCACTCGTTCGGTTCACCTGCTTCTTGTTCCCATTGTTAAATACACTGTTCCAGGTTTCACTAACGGTACAAACGCGTTAAGAGCTTTATATCCCAACCAGCCATCAGGTGTCGCTCTTCCGCTATCGACGACCGTTTCAAAGTACAATATGAATAGGCCTACTTCATATTGTATAACTAAATCACGTTAAGAATTATGAGTGTTATAATGTTAAATGAACTTTAAGAATCCAATTTCTGTAATGCTTGTCGCTTAAGGCCACAGATATGTTTTTTTATGAACCTAGACTTAAATTCACCAAATTAGCAATCAAAATGTGTCAAAGTTCCAAGCTATAATTATCACCTGATGCATTTTTGTGATAAGAAAATGTATAATGGGTGGGGCAGGAGAGTCGTTAATGTGCTTTTAATGCAAATTAATTTGACCATCGACAGGCTAAATCTCCAGACAAGTGATAAGAATAACAGCTCGTTGAAGAGAGTCGTACCTCCTCTGCTCCTTTTATTGTTCTGTATTTTCTTAGGGGTGGGGGTTACTAGGTTTATCTGCGACATAATCGCTAGGATAATCATAGCGTAAGATCTGGCTCCGATTCACAGACAGACATCACACCTATATAATTTTACTTTGCATGAGTGGATTTGGTTAATTACTCATACTGCCAGACCTCATGCCAATGACCTGCATCGTAAACATTATACAAGGTGTCTCCATATCCCTCTGCTCTCTCAGTGAATTAACTACTTTGACTTTACCCACCGTATGAGATGGGTCATGTGAATGATGTTGCCTTACCTTGAGTGTAACTCATGCAACATTTAATAGGCAAATTAGAACACGTTTTATTGCCACAAATCCCGTTCATTCTGCCTTTAAGAAAGCCAGTGCGACAATGTTTACCTCTCATGGGACTTTATTCCTGAAGACTGTTCGAAGCAGTACAGGGAATTAAGGAGTTTAGCACCCTGGAATTGCAGGATATACATTTGGCCATTAAGGAACAGTGTTAAGTACAAATTGGTTACCATAAACATGATTCGTACATTTACAATACCTAAACAAGGTCCTTTAAAATCTGATCAGTCTGCTTTGTTGTTGTATATTTTATTGTTGACAGATGGTCACAACTTAAACTTGAGCAGAAAACATTGTGCTGAAGCAGGTAGTGTGACTGGATGAATTCAACACTTTACCACTGTTTTTTAATTTTTAACAAGGCAGTCTTTTGTTGATTAATCTCTATGGTAACATTTCACGTATGAGCTGTCAGTGCTGACTTAGGGGTGGTCTTCACATGGTGCCAAAGTGGTGAGTAGTCTACTTTACCAGAACAAAATATTTGTATAAATTAATGGAAAATTTGTGTCTTTGCTGGTGCAATTCAGATTTATTTCACACATAATTGTGCAATTATGAGTAGCGTGATACATAGTATGTTGCTTTTTGATTTTAGCCAAACCACCTAAAGCAGAAGGAAATTTTGTGGGAAAGACACCAAAATGCCAAATAGAGCTCAAGAGGTAAGATATTGGAATAAATTGTCAGAAAATGTGTAAAGGTGGAAAACCATGGAATATGTGTAATTTAAATACATGACATGCTTATATAGACACGAGGCTTTTACTGGCAGTTGCAGGATCTTGAAACCTTTTTGTTACAGGATGCAGTGATCAATCTTAAGTCTGTCCAGGACCTTTCCAAACACCTGGGATTTGAGTGGACCATCCTGGCATATGAGTTGGGTTTTACCAGACCTGAAGTCAGACACTTCCACATAACTGCAGCAGAGAAGAGAGCCCAAGCCAAGAAGATGTTGGAGTGCTGGTGAGCTTAGTGCTCTATACAATGCAGCACCTTAGATAGTAAATGCACTATATCCTCTGTAAATGTTTTTGATATTGCTATGAAACTTTGGTGATCTGTACTTCAGACAGTATCCGGATTTGATTTAATTAGTGGGAAATAACTGAAAAATAATTGACTAATTACATTTTAAGGTGGGGCATGTGCCACTTTGAGTTATATTGGTGTAGCTGCAACACGTGTACAACAACAATGAACCTTTGGATTAGGCTGCCAAACTAAAGACCCAGATTAGCTCACAGAGAATGAGTAATATTTGAGTAATGAACCTGGCTAACTGGAATATAATGACGACCATTTCAGGACTGAATTGTTTGCAAAACAATGCTTGTTTGGGTATTTTTTGTTTCATTAAAACTTTGAGTAAGCATATCACGGATACAACCATCAGTCCCATGTCCAGACTTTAAATAGCCAGGCATGCGTTAAACCACATCGAGATCGATATGATATTTCCCATGGAAATGATTTTGTTGCAATCAAGAGAATGTTGGTAGATCACGGTGGCACAGAGTAGATATGAAGAACAGTGCATTTTTATTATTTTTCAACTCATCGATCTAGGTATGAAAGAACATGGGACAAACTTAACAAGACCAAGATTCTGCAGGATGCTCTTGAGCGCGCAGGCCGCAAGGACCTTGCTGACCGCCTGAGGTGTCTGCACTGGGGCCATCAGAAGCTGAGCACCAGGGTGGAACTGCCCTCAGCCTTTCCCTTCCTGATCACCGTCCACAGGACCATAGACAACCGCCAGGCTCTCCTCCGAATTAACGACCTCAATCGAAGATACACTTAGCTATTCTGATGCAAAAATACCACCATTTCTTTTTCGCAAAGCTGTCAATTTCAAATAATCTATTTCTCAATAAAACGGTTCACTATTCTCATAACATGACACTTTATGATATATATGACTAAATGAACCAAAGGTTAGCTACTACAGAGTGGTCGTATTTATCTGCTTTGTACTAATCGTAGGGTTAGGGTCACGATCAAAACACCGCGAAACGCACTATTGTTACCGAACAGCATTAATCATTCAAAAATATTTAATTTCATGAGAAATTAAGAGATTTTTATTTGATTTGATTTTCTCTAACCAAAAATAATCCAATATTTTATAAACAAAATAATAAATAAAAAATACTATACTTATTCAAATGAGCCTCTAATGAAAATTACTGTCTCTTTGCACTTGGTGTACAAATCAGTGTTTCTGCAAAGTTAAATAAATAATAAACGTAAGACAATATAGAGAAGTGTCAGCAGGGATAGCAGAATAGGCACTGTGTCAACAACAAAACCACGATGCATCCAGACTCACAAACTGTAGCATGTAGCAAAGGGTGGGTGACAGCAACAGACAGTATATATCTGCACATAAGGAATGTTACCATTTTATGTATGATGCTAACAGTGGCCATCATATATGTGAAGCTAAATAGTGACGCTTTATAAATTGTATGCCTTATAAAGTGACGTCTGTCGGTAGTTGCATGTTCATTCAAATTAATTAATTAATTAGATCAATCAATAAAACATTCACTCATATCTAAGTTTTTCAATGGTCGGGAAAGAAATGGACATCGATCAGGTCCAGCATCCAGAGCTCAAAATATTGTTTAACTTGCAATGATTACGGATTCGATACATATAAATGACTTCAAGCGTTCAAGCAAAACACATCTTTGTAAACTTCAAAGTTACAG